ATATATATACACACATATAGGTCCAAATCTTTCAAGTTTTTCCAATCCAGTAATTTGGAAAGCAATGAATAATCATTAGTAATACAGACACATAAATATATTACATTGAGTTGGATTTCAATTACTCATCATCTAGTCATGGAAGATTTTCAAATGTTAATAAAACATCTGGAGGGGCTGGAGAGATGATGGCTCAGCAGTTAGGAGCACTGGGTGCTCTTTCAGAAGACCCAGGTTCAAATCCCAGCACCCACATGGCAGCTAATCATTGTCTATAACTTTAGTCTCAGGGGATCCGACACCCTCTTCTGGCCTCTGTGGGCACTATGCAACATGGGTGCACTTACATACGTGCAGGCATAACACATAAAATAAAGATAAAATAAATTTTATTGGTCTTTTAATTTTTTTGAGACAGGGTCTCCCTGTAGCCCCAGCTGACCTGGAACTCACTATGTAGACCAGGCTGTCCTCAAACTCACAGAGATCTGCCTGCCTCTGCCTTCCAAGTGCTGAGATTAAAGGTGTGCACCACCATGCCTGGTGAAAATAAAATAAAATTTTTTAAATTTTTAAAAAAGATCTGGTGCCAATAGGCAGCTCAGCTTGCAGGCCTGGAAACCTAGGTCTATTTATGGAACTTGAATGGTGAAAGGAGAACACAACTCCTGTATATTTTGATCTTGTGTGCCCATGTGTGCATGCACGCTTGCACACATACACACACACACACACACACATACACACACACACAAATAAATATTTAAAACTTTTTAAAAATATGCACATGAGGAGGTTAGAGAGATGGCTCAGCTGTTGAGAGTGCTTACTGATCTTTCAGAGGACTGGGGTTCTGTTCCCAGTTCCCACACTGGATGACTCACAACCAACCATCTATAACTCCAGCTGTAGAGGATCCAGCGCCTTCTTCTGGCCTCCAAGGGCACCTGCGTACATGTGCACTTACCCACACACAAACATACACACAAACTCATAATTTAAAAAAATAATTTTAAGGCTTATGCATGAATGAGTAAAGGAAGAGATAGGCACACACAAGGCCCTCGACTGAATATCCAGCACCACAAAAGAAAGACACAGAAGGTTGTTATTCATGGGTAGTTTTAGCCATGGACAGACAAGTTTACCTCAGTAGCTGCAGGTGAGCAGGCTAAGTGCCATATCAACATTCCCTCTATCAAGTTGGAAAACAAATTCTATTTGCAATCTCACTCTGGACTTTAGCCTCAAAGTATCCAGATAATGTAAATATTGAGATTTCTTGGTGCTTCAGAATAATTATCCATGCAGCCTTTATAGACTAAACCTGGCAATAATTATTGTTTGTAGTTCCAACAACCTGGGGCTATACTCAAGTGAGCTCTACTCAATAAGGTACAATGTTTAAAGGAGTGAATCTACCCCAGACTTAGAGCCCAGGCATAAGAAATTAGTGCTGCATTTTTTCCTAACTCAATAAAAAGAGGTCTATAGCTATAGGAAGCAATCTAAGATGACTCCATGAAAAGCCTAAGACATCAACCCTCCAGAATTGTTAATGAGTGATAGAGGCACACATGTATTAGGGTCTAAAAAGATATGAAGAACGGTGGGAGGGAGTGCAAACTTAGGAAATTGGTGCCAGATTCACTTTGGCACCATCACCACCAGCTTCTTACAAGCCTGAAGCTATGTTCCTCAAAATCCCTGTCCATACAGAGCTTCAGGTTACAGTCTTCCAGTGACAGGAACAATCTAAAATTTGGGAGGCACAGGTGAAGAGGAGACTTTTTATTTTTGGAAGGCGGCAGACGTGGTGGGCTTCCAGACATGCGCACTGCCAAGCACACATGCCCCAGCACTTCAGGCTGTGTCTCTGATTCTCCAACCACAAAAGCTCACTTTTCCAGCTTCACACTTGCACAAGCCTAAATTCCTCTATTGAATTCCTTATAACTATAAATCATATCATCACTCTGTTTTCCAGACCAAACCCTGACAGACAGTACTTACGTTATTTAACCTGTATTATAAAAAGAGAGGATCACATTCTCTATGTCCCTTCCAGATCTCAAAGTCTCTGGATGTACAAGTTTCTGAATGTGCAAACCTTTTCATTCTAAAACAATCCATGAATTGACATAAAAATAAAGAGCAGAGTATATTCATCAATAAAAACTTTTTTCATAAAGCAAAGATGTTTTAAAGGAAAAACAATGTGGATCCAAATATAATTTCAGGAGAAGCAGGTGTGGTGCAGGCATGTGCTGAGGTATAGGCGGGACTATGGCAGCACACAGAAGGCTGTACTGCAGTCATCTTGTAAAAACTATGCCAGGATTGGGGCTGACCCACCCTACTGTGCAGTGATTTGTGGAATATGAGCCATCTAAGTCTCCTTCAGAGGGAGGGTTAAAGGTGCTCTGTCCAGAGGCATTTGGCAGATGAGCTAACCTGACAGTGTGTAACTAGGCAAACCAAGAAGTTGGAAAGTGACAAGGTGAAGAGGGGCAAGACCTGGTAAAGACTTCTGTGAAACTCATATTCATGTAAATCAAATCTCTCTTAAGGTATTAGAAAAATGGGTCAATATTTTTGCAGAAATGTCCATTCATTCATTCATTAAGACAAATTTAATTCTTTGAATGTTTTCCTTTAGTTTTTTGAAAGTGTTTGTGCCAGTTGTTTTGAAACATCTAGGCCCACTTGGAGCCACTTTCATTGACAGAATATGAATCACACTTTTCTTGAATATTGAGCACGTTTTTGTTGGTTTTCCCCCCCACAGGTGATGGGTTTTGGTTAAACACTGGGTGGTATTGATAATATGTCTTGTGTCTATGAACACTGTAAAGATTCTGAGGATTGCTGAGCTTTCCTGTGTTAACCTGCCTATATTCAAACTACAGACTCTTCTCTCCCAGGGTAGAGAGTGGCTCATCTTTCTCCTCGGTTCTTTTGGCTGCCAAATACTGCTCTTTAGCCTAGTCCTTTGGGGATTTCTTCTGCACCCACACCAAAGGCTTGTGCAGAATTTAAACTCAGATTTGGGGCTTTACTCTCACTGAGCTGCTCTTGCTGCTGAGATTTTGCCCATGATTTTCCCACCTGTTAAGTTAGCTCCCATCTCTGTAATCTAATAATTCAAGTCAGTAAGACTTCCGCTTTCTCCCACTGTAGCTATGCACAGGGCCCTAAGGCACTCAGTCAGAAAACAGCACACACAAATCCTAGGCAGAGCATTTGTCTTCCAGGTATATAATTTCTTGGTTTTTTTTTCCAAGTTCATATTGAGGGAAGTTCCACACATATGTATTATACTTTAGTGGATAGTCAAGGTCTTGAACAGATTTTATACTTAGACTTTGGATCTCACATTTTCTGAACTTCCGGAATTTCTTCCCTAAATTTCCAGCTACTCTACCAACTCTGAATTCTGCCTTCTGACACCTGGATCTGGTAGAACTGTAGGCTTGCTGCCACATAAGAGCCAGGGACTATGGAATTCCCTCGACCCATATGTGCATAATATATGTAAACTTTAGAAGAGGTGATTACAGTGCCATAAACAGAATGCCCCGCAATCATAACTTAATGCTGCATGTCACTACATTTCCATCTACTGACATGTTTAGTTTTACCCTTTCCAGGCTCAGAGAGAATCTGACGTAGCTGTTCTTCGGTGTCTGTCAGCTCTCTGGAAATCAGCCCTAGATACCAGCTACTTCACCACATCCACTGCTGCCTCCCTGGTGCAAATCATCTTTAGCCTATATTACAACAACAGATCCCCAGCTGGTCTCTTGCTTCAGCCTTTAGCCACCTGTCTACATGTTTTAACACAACCATCAAAATAATCTGTTAAAGAATTCTATTAGCTCACATCATTCCTCTGCTTAAAATCTTCCAGTGGCCCCCAACTCACAGAACAGCTCAAGTCCTTACAACAGGCCACAAGGTCCTTTTTATAGCTGGCCCCATCTCTAAGATTTCCCCTCTCTCAACCTGGTCCCAGCTCAAGGGGCCTCCAATGCTGTTTACAAGGTTTCTCAAACCTGAATGCTCATCAGAATTACCTGGAGAGATAATTTAAAACAAATTACTATACCCCCAAAAATGTATTTACTTGATTCAGTAGCTACGTAACACATCCAAAAATCTGCATTTCTAACAAGCTGCAGATGCTGACATCAGAAACCACA